TGAAGAAAAAATATTCAAGATTATATCCGTTGGAGTTAATCAACGTCTCTTTCCTCATTTGTGCTAGACACAATTACACAGACAAAAAGGATTTTTCTGTGTTATCTACTTCTAGGAAAGGTCACTTGATGTGAAGACAAAAAGGCTCAGACCTTTTAGGGACTCTCTTTTCAACGCTCAGCATTCTTGGATCAGCTGCCTATAAAAGGAAGTCTCCACCAAATTCTTTAGTAACACAATTTGCTGAAAAGAAATCATATTATTCTAAGCTCTCATTCTTTCATATTCTTCTTAGAATTTCTTGTACTTAAACTTAAAAGAAAAATCATTGTTGTGATAAAAGCTTTATAGAAGCATTAATACTCTTGTATTTGATTTACATTGATTGTAAATGTTTTTCCTTAAGAGGATTCAGTTGGAATCAGTAGCTCTTGAGAAGACTAAGAACAATTGTTCTTAGGTGTTACTATTGTAATCTGTTTGATTAAATAGTGGATTAAGTCCTTGTTGAGAAAGGCAAATCACTCTAGGAAGGGTGGACTGGAGTAGTTGTTTTAAACGAACCAGGATAAAAATAATTGTGTCATTATTTTTAAAGTCTTAATCTTTCATACTTATTCAACCCCCCTTCTAAGTATTATCTCACCTTCATGCGCATGACCAACGTTGAGTGGTCTTCCACTTATTCATTTTTTCCTATTTTTTTATTTGTTTATTAATATTTAAAGGAAAAGCTTAATAATTAAATTAAAACAAAATAAATAACATAAATTCAAACTAAAGACACAATTAATTCTAATTAAATCTTCCAATTATTTTAGCTAAAAAACACAAATAAAAGGGTAAAAGATGAATAAAAGTAGGGCGTAAAAATGCTCGGAAAAATAAAATGAATGCACCACAATGATCAGCGTAAAATATAATTTCGAATATCATATATGTTTTGATCAAATTTTGAAGTAAAAAATGACCATTTAAAAGGCTCAGGCTAATCAATGTGTGACCGAAAAAGAGTAAAAAATAAAATAAAACGAGCATACCAACACAACCTTGCGCAACGTAGTTTCGTAAAATAATTTGATACATGTCAAAACTCGATTTATTATACTCCCTAATTTTGCGCATAATGTCGAATCGCTTCAACCGGTCTGTCTGTAAAACCAAAATTTTATGCTGATGATCTTGGATTGACTTAAAAAGATGCATGAGACGATGAAATGTATGAAATGCAACTAACTAACTTTTTTGAATTTAAAATAAACTGAATTTGATTGAATTTCAAATTTTACATAATTAATGAATGACTGACTAAACTATTGATACAAATGCTTTGATGAATGATGCTCAGGGCAAAATTGGGGTATGATAGATATAATGCCAATTATGCTCATATTATTTCATTTTTTCAGGGGAGACCTAAAGGGTCGGTGAATAGTAGTCAACCCAATAAAAAAAGGAGAATGGTAAGAAAAATCAATCAGTAGGCCCAAGGCATAACAATGTTGGCCCAAGTCAAAGCAATGTAGGTCCAAGTAAAAAAAACAGCAGGCACAAGTCAGAATAATTCAGGACCAAGTCAGAATAAATTAGGACCAAACCAAACATCAGTGCAGACTACTCAGGCTGCACCATCTACTCAAACTATATGCCTAAGTAATACTAGTACAAGCCCAACTCATACTACATCATATTCTTAGGCTAAACTAGAAATTCAGACGAGTTTAGACAAGTACAATGACTTAGAGCACAATATACTAGATTCATTGTTGAATGAAGTCATCAACGAAGAGGATGATGTACTTTACATTCAACCTTTTAGCATTGACATAAGCCCTTCCAAACCAAAACTTGCTGTAAACCATAACCGGTCAAAATCATCTGGTGCCAAAACCTTCATTGGAAAGACACCAAAAGTCACTAATTCTAGAGCATTCAAACCTCCAGGAATTGTGAAAGCAACTGTTAGTGATCCTGTAAGTTTGATCATGTCAAATTTGTAGCCTTGTTATAGTTGTACTGTTCTAACTATTACTTCCCACTATAGATGAAGAACATGATTTCAAAGAAGAAGAAAGTCAAGCATGTTGTAGTTCATAATAAAAAGAGTGAAAGAATCATGATTCTCAAAACAAAAGATATCATGGGACCTGAAAAACATCTAGAAGATCCAGTTGTAATCACTGAAGAGGATACCTCAATAGGACCAAGTAAGAGTGCTAGAAGAATGAAAAGTTGGGATGAAATTCACAAGGGCTTAACTCAATGAAGATGACAAGGGAGTTTGAAGTACTGAAGATATTTTGAAGTTGAAAATTGTTTATGTATTTTGGTTATGAATTTTGATTATACTATGTGTTTTGGTTATGCTACAATCGAGTACTTTGTTATTTTGATAATGCTATAAGCATTAAGCTACTATGTAATTTGGTTAAACTACTTTGTATTCTATTAAGTCAAATAGACGGAAGAGACGAAAATATAGGGATAAAAAACTTTAAGAGGATCATTATTTAAAGAAAAATGTTATAGGAAGTAAAACAAGTTAATTACCGATACCACTAACATATTTAAACCTTCTTTTAATTGATTAATTTATTTAAACATTAATAAAACTATTTATTTATATATATTCAAATAAAATATATGTTTTGATTATGCTACAATAGTACTTTGTATTTTGATAATGCTACAAGCATTAAACTATTGTGTATTTTGGTTCTACTTTATATTCGGTTAAGTCAAATAAGCGATAGAGACAAAAAATAGGGATACATTTTTTTAAGATAATCATAATTTAAAGAAAAATGTTATAGAACTAAAATCAGATTTTAAGTTAATTATTGATACCACTAACATCATTTAACTGATTAATTTATTTAAATATTAATAAAATTGTTTATTTATATATATTCAAATAAAATATAATATTAGGGTTTTAGTCAATTAAATTTAGAAAATGTCAAACTCAAATTTAAAAATAATCTTTAACAAATTATAAGAAAAGCTTAAATTTTGAATTATTCAATAAATTAGACTTAGCCTTTAAAGTTAATGATTTTTACATAATTTTTATTTGCAACTAGTGGGATACCCGTGCATTCGCATGGGTACCGATTTGATAAAAAATGATAATATAAACAATTGAAAAAAAATTTAAAAAGAAAATTAATTCTAGAATATCAAAAAGAATAAATAGTATTCGAATTAGAAAAAAGTAAGATAAGAAATTTATTACTTAGTGATTAAAAATGAAAAGGAAAACATTGAATAAAGATTTGATTAAATGTGGAAATTGCTATGTATCCCATTAATTATATTAGTTTGTAAATTGAAAAAGTAAAAAAAAATAATTGATTGAAAATTTTAAATTAAACTAGTTGGAGTAAATAAAAATTATTAAAAGCATTCAATAAGAAACAATAAAAATGGAGAAAAATTGGATGGAGGAAAAATTAAATTTAAGGCTTATTATTATTTAAATATATAAAAGTAAAAAATGCATAAGAAAAAAATTAAAATAAATAAAAATAGTATAATTTAATAAAGTATTTTACATTTTAGAAAAATAAAATGTAGAAATTTAGTGGATTAGAAATAAATAGTGAGATGGTAAACGTAAAATAAGTGATATTTATATGAATAAAAGAAAAACAAATTAAATAATAGTTTTTTTTTTTTTTTTACAAAACAACCTATTGATAAGATTCTACAACATCAACAAACATCAAAAGCATTAGTTTTTCCACATTCAAAGCATCACTTTTTTCAATTTTATAAGTTTGTTTAGTTTGGTGGAGGAATGTTCACAATCTTCTAATTTCTTTGAAGAAATAGATGAAGTTGAAACATTTGTAGCCACTCTCTTTGACGCTGTAATTGGCATACCGGGTCTGGAATATGGTCGGAGGTACCATCAATTTCCTGAATATCATATTTAAGATCTGTTAGCAAATTGAACTAAACAAAATAATATATCAATTAAAATAGATTAATTGAAGGAGATGATGTGTAAAGTTATAACGACTAATTCCCAGTTCCTTAATGGGATTGCCTCATCAACGCTTTTGTTAATCCACAAATAAAGAAAACAACAATTTATCATAATGATACACAACAATAAATATGTCCTAAAATAAAGAAAATGTCTAATATATGAGGCATAAATAAACCTGCAACACGTCATCTATAACGGGAGACATTGAAGTTGTCTAATTGGGAAAACAAAAACAACACGTTAGTTAAAATTCAATTTGTAGGAATGCAGAAGAAATAGATTACGTTGGAATAGTTATACTAAATCTAGAGCAATTAACGATGGAAGTTGTACGACAGTTTCATCCTGATATATAGAGACAACTGATGCATTTGCCCATGATGGTTGACATTTCACCTTGAATGTCAGCTCCACACACACCAAAGCATCAAGTGCTAAAGGATATTCAAGAGGGTTTGTGACTCCACCCTAATTGGAAAGGGGCAAGTAAAATAAAAGTATTTAGACATTCCAACATAATAGTGTATGTGAATATCCCAGAATGTAGTGTTACCTTAAGCATGTTGCTGTGCATTTGATCTGCAAATAGTTCCAAGAGTTGTAAACACTCACGGTCTCATAATACAAACATCACACGACATCCATCATTTACCACTTCAAGCAAAATCTTCTACCTATTTATGCAAGTAGTTTAGGTCCATATATTAAGGTTAATTAGTGATGTTTAAAACAATAACTGAAATGGTAGTAGGACTTGAAAATCCCAGTCTCGGTATTATGGCCAACACCACATATGTAAGGTGGTGCTTTTCCCTTGGCTACCCTTGAACATTCATGACATACATAGTAATATCACCCCTTGTGATGCTCTTAGTTTGTCAATCGTTTCTACAGTTACACATTGAGTGATATGTTCAGAATGAAAAAAATAAATTTGTCACACACACGAGTATAAGAAATCCACAGTCATGACTGATCAATGAAAATGAAGACTTAATAATAGTTCTTACATCTTAAGTTGTATAATATGAGCCAAAGGTAGTACCACAACCTTATACATGAATTTGTCATAAGGTGTAAGCTGAGAACTTGTTGAAGTTTGAGACCAGTTATGTGATTGTGTTGTCAAATTTTGACATGACCACTGTTTGCCTTCCATTTTTGGAATCTTATGGTTAATAACAGATAAAATTGAAAGAGCATCATTGAAGGAAATATAAACCATATTTAAATTAGAAAATAAATAATGTATAGTGTACGCAAGAACGGATGACCTATTTAGGAAATCATTAATGTCAGGTGAGTCATCATTGATGTGTAACTTGATTACATTGAATGTGTTTAAAACACATAAATGATACTTGCCTACAGGGTAATGAAATAACAAATTAAATGTGCCGCTAATAATGAATTTAAGTCGCAGTTAAAAAGATAAAAAAATTATGGTATACCTTCCTCTTTCAGTTTTGCAAATTGTAAACTGATAATTGTTGGTAAAGAACTGTCCTTCCTCTTTTGAATGCAATCGTGGAAATGCAAAGCATAAACTTTCCATAATGTACAATGGATTGTGTTGTTACTACAAATATATAAAAGGTGATGGTTACGCGCAAATTAAAATCGTAAAGACAGAACAATAAAAGTGATAATGGTGAAGTCGTTTTGTAGACATACCCCAAGTCCTTTAGGACCAAATTAATTTGTTGTTTTTTGCTACCAATTTGTAATTGTGTATAACCAATCTCTCTAACCATCCCAATAACGTCTACAACATTCAATTTTATAAACAAAACAAACATTATAAGACAATATTATATAACCTAATGGAATCATATTTGTCGAACATATATGTATAAACGGACCTATTAAAACATCCCTTTTCCACTTTCCAAATATAATATCCACAAACTGTGTGAACTTCATGTTTTTTGGAGGTATGGCGTGTTTATTTTTGTTGCAAACAGAAGTACCACCAATGAACACCAACACATAATTGTGGTCAGATGACTTGAATAAAAGTTCATTTAACATCACTTGGAAATTTGCAATGGTATAAGTGTTATTGACGGCTAAGACAAAATCAAACGATTGTTTATACATTGTTGAGACTTTCACATGAATATCTGAACGCTGAAATGTTAATAATGCATTGTTCAAGTAGATTTGATGAAATCATGAAATATACAAACAAAATGATTGTAAAACCAGAATGTAAGAAATAACACAAAGATGATTAAATGCAGGAAAAATAGAACATATAATGGAATTTGTCTAAAGCAAGACCCATAATAACAAACTGAAGTGAACATAGATGTAGAAAAATTACCTTCTTATCAACTACAATTATCTCAAAGTGTTCCTTATTCTTTGAATTCAAACTCCATTTGTGATGAATCCTCAATGCCATCTTCCAAAATTCTTTACCATCGTTGATATCTTTAACAATTGAAAAAGGTTTTGCCATGTTTGTTCTTGATATCCGCTGAAGTTAAAGTTTTTTGTAGGGGATGGTTGGTAACAGAGAGAGTTTTGCAGATTTGATTCAAATCAAAAGTGTTTTTATGAAAAAAATGAAAGTGAGAAGCATGTAACATCTCAATCTCTTTGATCAATGTTTTGCGGTATTGGAATAAACATTTATTTTTTGAGCAGCAACAAACTTGAGTGTTGTTCCTATTAGAAGTAATTCATATTTATTAGTTGTACTATTTTCTTAGCCCCTAAGTTTGTTAGAGGGTATTTTAGTATTTTATCTTATTCTAGTAAACCTAGTTTTAGCTTATAAATAGGGTTGCAACCATTGTAATGTTCAAGTGGTTGTGTGTAGCCATTATTCTCTTAATAGAATATTTCTCTATTCATCATTTATTCTACCTTTGCACCAACAATTGGTATCTAGAGCTCCGATTCGGATTCATTAGGAAACACGGGAAACACGAGTGAACGTGAGGTCTTGTGTGTTTGATTTTGATTCTTAGATTCGTGTTGAATCTTGAATAAAATCTGATCAGAATTTTAATTCTGTGGGTTGGGAAACACTGTGTGAGAAATCTGAGTGTACTGTGCAAGGTAGAAGATGAACGAAAATGGCAACATGCATACCAAACTTCCAGTATTTGACGGTAAAAACTGGAATCGTTGGATGATCCAAATGCGTGTACTGTTCGGTGCTCAAGATGTTCTAGATCTTGTCACTGATGGTTATGTTCCGGTAGCAGCAAATGCGACGAATGAACTGAAAAATACGCAGAAGGAAGTAAGGAAGAAGGATCAAAAAGCATTGTTCTTCCTTCATCAATGTGTGGATGTAAATGTGTTTGAGAAGATTGCAGATTCAACGACAGCAAAGGCTGCATGGGACACACTGGTGAGATGTTATGGTGGTGACGCATCAGTGAAGAAGGTAAAGCTTCAGTCCTTGAGAAAGCAATATGAGAATCTCAACATGAAGAATAATGAGAAAGTCTCTGAATACATCTCCAGAATGATTCTGATCACTAATGAGATGAAGGCGTGTGGAGAAACTCTTTCTCAAGAAGCAATCATGGAGAAAGTATTGAGATCCCTTACCTCTCAATTTGATTACATTGTGGTAGCAATAGAACATTCCAAAGATCTGAGCACCATGAGAATTGAAGAGCTGCAGAGCAGTCTAGAAGCGCAAGAGTTGTGTTTGATTGAGAGAACCTCTGAAAAGGAAGTAGAGCAGCAGGCTCTGAAAGCAACTTCTGATAAGAGGTATCAGAAGAAGTCAGAAGCCAGGAGAAGATCTGATGGTGGTCAAAAGTTAGAAAGCTCAACCTCTGATAGACAAAAGAATGCTCAGAAGGGAAAAGAGAAGTATGACAAGAAGAAGATCCAATGTTACTATTGTAAGAAGTTTGGTCACTTTGCTAGAGATTGTTGGTCAAACAAGGAGAGAAAATCAGAAGAAGCAAATATAGCCAGAAGTTCTGATGACGATTAATGGCCTCTGAATCTGATGATATGGATTTGATAGACTGGTGTTATATGGACACTGGTTGTTTAAATCATCTTACTGGAAACAAGAAATGGCTGGTTGACTTTGACTCTAAAAAGAGGACAAAGATCAGATGTGCTGATGACAAATATCTTAACGCAGAAGGTATGGGAAATGTCAGAGTGATTCTGAACAATGGGAAAACAACATTGATTCAGAACATGTGGTATGTACCTGGCATTAGAAGTAATCTGATGAGTGTGGGACAATTAATTGAGAAAGGTTTTTCAGTTACCATGAAGGACAATCTTCTGAAGTTGTATGACTGCAATCAGAAGTTGATTATGGAGTCAGGACAAGGAAGGAATAGAACATTCAAGGTGAATGTCAGAACTGCAGACTCAGAATGCCTTAGTGCAACAAGTGTTGAGAAGGAGAGTGAGCTGTGGCACAGAAGATTTGGTCATTTGAATTTCAGAAGCTTAAAACATCTGAATTCAAAGAAGTTGGTACATGGAATTCCTGCAATTAAGAAGCCTGAAAAGTCATGTAAAATTTGCATGGAAGGAAAACAACCACGATTGCCATTTGCGCCAGAAGCTGCTCCAAGAGCAAAACATGCCTTGGGAGTTGTACATTCTGATGTGTGTGGTCCATTTCCAGTAGCATCGATTGGAGGGAATAAATACTTTGTGTTGTTTGTTGATGAATTCACAAGAATGACATGGGTATCCCTTATTAAGTTTAAACACGAGGTGTTTGATGAATTCAAGAAGTTCAGAATGAAGGCTGAGAATCAGAGTGGTCAGAAGTTGAAGATTCTTAGAACTGACGGTGGAGGTGAGTATAACTCCAAAGAATTCCAGAAGTTCTGTGAGGAGAATGGAATTGAGCATGAGGTTACTGCTCCTTATACCCCTAAACACAATGGTCTTGCTGAAAGAAGAAATCGCACTTTGTTTGATATGGTGAGAAGCATGCTAAAGGAGAAGAAGCTTCCTCAGAAGCTCTAGGGAGAAGTTGTTGCCACTGCAACGTATGTACTTAACCGATGTCCTACGAAGAAGTTGAAGGAAATAGTTCCAATACAGAAGTGGACTGGAGATAAGCAAAGTGTTAGTCATCTGAAGGTGTTTGGTTCTGTTTGCTATAAACATGTTCTAGAAGCCAGAAAACAGAAGCTGGATGATAGAAGCAAAGTGACGATTCTGATAGGGTACCACAGTACAGGTGCATACAAGCTCTATTGTCCAGAAACCAATAAAATTGAATTCAGCAGAGATGTGATTGTGAAGGAATCAGAAGTTTGGAATTGGGATAAGTCTCAATCTGATTCTGATGTTAGAACTTTTGAAGAAAGGTCAGAGTTAAGAATTCCTGAAGTTTGAGTAAACTCTGACGTTGACTCTGACTCTGATAGTGATTCAGACTCTGTAGAAGACTCAAAAGATGAAGGTGACTCTGATGATCCAGACTCTAATGATCCAGACTCTGATGGCAATTCAGACTCTAGAAATATTCCAGACTCTGAAGATGGTCAAAGCTATGGAGGAAGTCAATCATCTGAAGCTAGAAACTCTGAAGGTCAAGACTCTGAACAAGTTCAGAGACCACAAAGAATAAGAAACGTCCCCAGAAGATATGCAGAATTTGACATGCTGCAAGACACTGAAGTAGACTCTGAAGGAGAAGTTATTCAGTGTGCCATGATAGTAGACTCTAAACCCATAAGTACAGAAGAGGCTCTTAAGTAGAAGCTCTGGCTAAAGGCCATGAAAGAAAAACTTGATGTTATGGAGAGAAACAAGACATGGAAGCTGATAGAACTTCCAAAAGACAAGAAAGCCATCAGCGTCAGATGGGTTTTCAAGCAGAAGTTAAAGCCAGATGGTTCAATTGGCAAACATAAAGCAAGGTTGGTAGCCAGAGGATTTCTACAAAAACCTAGGCTGGATTATTCTGAAGTGTTTGCACCTGTAGTAAGACATGAAACAATCAGAATGGTGATTGCAATAGTTGCTAACAGGAATTGGCCTCTGATGCATTTAGATGTAAAATCCGCATTTCTGAACGGTCCATTAGAAGAAGAAGTTTACGTGTCACAACCTCCTAGATTTGTGAAAAAGAATCAGGAAGGGATGGTGTACAGATTATACAAAGCTCTATATTGATTGAAACAAGCGCCCAAAGCTTGGAATCAGAAGATTGATTCATTTTTCAAGAAGCAAGGCTTTCAGAAATGTGAAAATGGAGTGCGGTGTTTAAGTTCAGCATACTTCTGAAGGCAATATGACTCTGGTGTGTTTATATGTTGATGACATATTGCTGACTGGAAGTTCTGAACAGGAGATAGCCAAGTTCAAGAAAGTTCTGATGAATGAATTCGAAATGACTGGTCTAGGCAAAATGACATACTTTCTAGGGATGAAGTTCATATATTTTGAGAAATGTACCATTTTTCATCAGCTCAAGTATGAATTAGAACTTCTGAAGAGATTTGAACTGAAGAATTGTAAGATTGTTGTCACACCTTCTGATACAAATCAGAAACTGGATTCTGACTCTGATGGAAAGGATGTGGACGTTACAACCTTCAAACAGTTGGTTGGTTCTCTGAGGTATCTGTGCAATACCAAACCTGATATTTGCTATTCTGTTGGGATGGTTAGTAGGTTCATAAGTAAACCTAAGTGGTCCCATTACCAAGCTGCTGTCAGGATTCTGAGGTATATCAAGGGAACTCTGAAGTATGGAGTGTTATTTACTTCTGGAAGAAAGAATGAGTTAGAGCTTCTGAGTTATTCAGATTCTGATTGGTGTGGAGACAGAGTTGATAGAAGAAGTACCTCTGGGTACTTGTTCAAATTTCTGGGAGGTCCCATTTCTTGGTGTTCCAAGAAGCAACCTATTGTGGCGTTATCAACCTGTGAAGTTGAATACATTGCAGGTGCTGTTACTGCATGCCAAGCTGTGTGGATTCTGAATCTGTTGCAGGATCTGAAGATTAAAATAAACAAACCTCTGAAGCTGATGATTGACAACAAGTCTGCAATCAATCTTGCCAGAAACCCAGTGTTGCATGGGAGAAGCAAGCATATTGAGACCAAGTATTATTTTCTGAGACATCAAGTTCAGAGTGGAGTGTTATAAGTTATACACTGCAGCACTCAGAAACAGTTGGCAGATGTTCTGATGAAAGCTATCAAGACTGATCAATTTCTCAGACTAAGGGATGGAATTGGTGTTACAATTTTTGATGGAATATGAATTAAGGGATGATATTAGAAGTAATTCATATTTATTAGTTGTACTATTTTCTTAGCCCCTAAGTTTGTTAGAGGGTATTTTAGTATTTTATTTTATTCTAGTAAACCTAGTTTTAACTTATAAATAGGGTTGCAATCATTGTAATGTTCAAGTGGTTGTGTGTAGTCGTCATTCTCTTAATAGAATATTTCTCTATTCATCATTTATTCTACATTTGCACCAACAGTTCCCAAACG